CATTTACATACGGATAGGCTCAGAATTAAAATTAAATAAAAATTAAAAATAGTTAAAATGTGAATGACGGTTATAAGTTATAAAACTCAACAGGTTTTGGTTGACTGACAGTCTGTCTAGCTAGGTCTATCTAACATAACTAATATTATCGTACCAGTATTTCAGAAAAGCAAAGATAACTTTGATAAGCTTTGGACATGCAATACTCGAATTGGCCAATAAGATTCGATGAATTATGTAGGCAGTTGGCTATAAATACACAAGGTGAACCAATAAGTGTGATATATATATATATATATATATATAGCGACATATTTATAGCTATATGTCTGAACATTTTTTGTGAGTTGATGTGATAATAACAATCATTTAAGTAATTTTTCCAATTCATAAGTTGGTGGGCTTGTAGCATGAGATGAAAAGAGTAAATTTTTAAAGAAAACCTTATGCAATTCACTGAAAATTATGTAGAGGTTAATTTGGAATACATATTTTGTTTAAAATGGAACTGGAACTCGTCATATCAACGTACTTTTATCCCTGCCTTACACCATCTCTGGAGTAGGCGTGACATCCGGCTATCAACCAAGGGACGTGTGTACTGCTCAGCAGTCCTCTCTGTCCTTCTCTATGGCTCTGAAACATGGCCAATACGAGTTCAAGACATGAAAAGGTTGTCTGTTTTTGATCACAGATGTCTACGATCTCTTTCTCACGTTAGGTGGCATAATAAGGTAATTAATGTTGACGTTAGGCGTAGAGTGTTGGGCAAAGAGGGAAAATCAATCGAAGAGGCTATAGATTGAGATGGCTAGGTCACGTGCTGCGCATGCCTAACCATCGCCTCCCCCGACGGGCATTACTAGCTGATATAGGTGCAGGTTGGAAAAGAGTAAGTGGTAGCCAAACAAAAACATGGCATCAATCCATGAAATCCCTGACAGTTAAACTGAGTCAGGTAGGGAGATGCAAACTTCCGGGTTGAGGCCCTCGGGACTCTAAGAATCAATGGCTGGAGACAATAGGTGACATGGCTCAAAATCGTTGTCAATGGCGCAGATGTATTCAGTCTCTGTAATCTTTCATATTCCTTTCTACCATTACTCATTCTTTTTTACTCTTATACTTGTCAAAACTCTATTGATTCTCTTCACTCATTTTCTTGTCTACCTTTGTGTGCTATTTGGAACGTGGCAACTCGAACTGCTGCACTTCGGTGCCAAGTTCTATGTTGAATCCAGACAGACAGACAGACTTTTATCCCTGTCTTACTGAAGACATTCATTATAATCTCATTGAAGCTGCGCTTTAATGCTAACAACTGTTATTCACTACCACACAAGGTTATACGCATTATAGAGGTTCTATGCTGGCTTCAAAATTGCAACATGATAGTAGGAAATGAAGCCAACAGGCTTCATCTCTTGTGCACATCACTTGTGTAATGATGCTCTTGTCCTCTTATTTTAAGTACAAGTCAGAACAAGCCTTGATTAACACTTACTGAAAGTTGGGACAGTGTGGTTACAGAATCCTGAATAGTGCATCCAGTTATATTTTATTGAACTTAATACTATCAAATCATAAAAAGGGGGCTTTACTCATCGCCAGGAGATTTACTGTCAAGTATTTATTACATTAATGACCGCAATTTCACTGAGAACATTAGTGAACGCCTTTGGACTACTCAGCGTATTAAAAGTCAATCTAAACGAAGAATATTCTTCTCGATAAATCCTCCTCTTCAGGTTCTTACAATTATAAAACATAATATTTATGGTTATCGTTACAATAATGACCAGTTATGTGGCCGATACATTTTTACGTGAAATAACAGACTAGTTATGAAGTGACAAAATAAGTAGTATTCGTATGACAAACGTGCTAAGTTGAATTCAACTATAGAATACCGTGAAATGAGAGACGATGGTGGTGAGTAGTCACAATAATTCCATACAATGTAGGGAAGGAAAATTGACAAGTCAGTTCAAAATGATAAAAGGTATCAGGTGAGCGAGTGGTTAGTTCAAAGCAGTATGCATTAAAGAGGGGACAGTAAGGCTGCGATGAACAGTTCATCGTGAAATAACCAATATGTGAAATGAAGCAGGTGGAGGTATATATTGAGAAAAGAGATGATGTCACTAATAATTAGTCCAAATAGTATAAGTGGAAAATTCGATAGTATTGAAAGAACATTCGAATGAAGGGTACATATTATAACGAAGAATAACTATTATTATAAAAAGCAGAGCAAGAGTAAAGAAAGGGATAAAGAGAAGAGACACTCTTGGAGGGAAGAAGAAATTTTAATCCAAGTTTGTTCATGGTAAGGACATCTCCTCAAAGTGAACTTTTTGAATACAAAGCTCCAGTTAATTTGATCTTACTGCAGCAGCTTCAGCCATGTGTAGGAGACATAAGCGAACTGTGCAGGACAGCGACTTCAGTCTTTGGTACATAACCCTGAAGGCCACACTGGCGTCGATGTGATGTCCAGTATCGGCCAAGTATGACAGTATTGAACTTTTTATGCATTTGATTCCCCAATTTCTGAATCAAGCTGGCACATGTTCTCAAATCCGTAGATGAACCTGCTCAGTCCCACGCCCTGTATGACTTGAACCACAAGGACAGTGTGAATGGTATATGCATGAGGAAGAGCTAAGGTTAGGTAAGACATCTTTCAGTTTCTGGGTGAATACTGGGAGCCTACTGAAGGACAGGAGCTTATGAGACGAGTAGAAAATCATCCTTATTGCCTTGTTTAGACACTGAGATAGAATCTCCACAGGAGTATCTCCCATGAATAGTAGACGTAAAAATAATGGTGACCCTATCCCGGGAAAATCAGTCCAATCGCTACAGAAACTTTAATTTTAATTTTACTACCATATTACCCATGGATTAATTGAAGTTGTTTAATTTTATACTCTTCTTACAAAAGCTAATTGATACAGTGTACTCAAAAAGTCAGTACATTTTAGTTAATACTGTTTTGTTCAAAATACACGACACTTCATATGATTTTAGATAATGAACAGATTGACTAAATTGTTTTAAAATCTTCATAAGTTGAGACATTCAGTATATGTCATGTTACGTAGCGTGGATGATAAGCCTCATACAGAGTCATTAAACTTCAGTAAGAACTAAAGAATTACTGTCAGAAGTGGCTAACATGCTGTTTTATATGGATCATAGTAAATAGAAGTGGAACCTAGAGTGACTTTTCGATCATGTTTGTGACCTGTCACATTTGGATGTATTTGAACGAAACAAAAGGCATGTTTTGGATACCATTATCACCAAAACATTATTTCAAAAATCTGCAAGTGTTGATTTAAAGAGATTTGACTGATTTTAGGTTACATCACGAACTGATATGACGTAGAGAACCACTGAACAGGCCGTCCGCATCACTGAAGACCACAAGAAGTACACCAGTTGGAATGGCAATGCAAAAACATTGTTATCGAGGCCTTCAGAAGCCCAGAAGTCTGCAGTGAACTACCTAGTGGTTCACCACTGATGGCACTATGAACAGAGTGGTGATGATAAATAAAACCCTCAACTGTGGCTCTCCTGTGGGGGAACTAAGTAACTTAGTTACTGACATGGACCAACTAAGGCCAGTGATACCCGAATAGTTCAACAAAAGGTACAATCAGTATCAAGTGCCTACTCCACAAATGTCCTAGGTAGATCATATTATGGATAGGTAAATTCAAAAATTATCAGTCAGAACAACGGTTATCCTCAAAGATTCATTAACAAATATGGAAGATGTGAAGGCTCAAATACCAAACAAATCACAGTTGAAAAAAGCCTGTCTTCATTCAACTAGATTTTAAAGGTGAAAACATTGCAGCAATGGTCAACAGAAGACTGAAAACGTCACTAGCCAGAGCCTATCCTGCAGCTAATTTGGTTCCCATCCATCGAACAACATGCTCTTTGGTGCAGTCAAAAGTCGATAGATACCCTTCTCATGTTAACTCCAACTGTGTATTAAAATTTACGTGTATCTGCGGGAGCAGTTACATTGGGAGAACAGAAAGAAGGGCACACCTCCGATTTTCTGAAAATGTGCCGAAAAGCCTACGTCTCAAGGGAACAAACTCTTATAGTAGCGCTAATACCGACAAGGGTCATGAGGTAGAAATCGAGAAGTCCTTTAAAATTATCAATAGACAAAGGAGTTCCATTCTCCTCAAGTTTTCCGAAGCAATTTCTATCAAACGATTGAAACCAGATTTATGTGTTCAGAAACAATCAGTTATCAGTGTTTCTTTGCCCTGGTAACTGAATTTCTTTATTCTCTTTTCTGATTGCGTAATCTTTGTCTTTAACCTCACCCCCTTTTATAATCTGTAATTTTGCTTGTCTTTTGTTTCTATGATTTGAGTTGAACTCAGTACATTGTTACCTAATTTATTAGTCACTCTGTATCTAACCCATATTTTTTCTTTATTACGTAACTCCTTTACCATTTTATGCATACATTTATTTTGTTTAAACTTGAACTGCCTGTGTAAAAACTATATAAGCGCAATTTTCTGAGCATTGTTCATTTATTGTGGGACTTTTCGCCAACTGACAACATGTAAAATTTGTAAGTATGTTAAAACTTTTCTGCACGCAAACCTCATAATTTATTTAGGCTGTAAGCAGCTGATGAGAAGCCAACGAAACAAGTGACGGTATCATATTATTCTGCACAAACCACTGTTGTTCTGGCTTTATTCAAAGTCAGAACAAAGGCTGAAATATAAGTGGGATAGGTAGGATGTATTTAAATCGATCATCAGAGTGATGAATGGGAGTCGACTTCCTCATGGGAAAAAATGACACAGAAGGTGACAGACAGGTGTAAATTATTCAACACAAACTCTCCTATGCTGTCTAGATTTTTCACTCTAAAAGAAAAACAACTCTTCCCTCGACAACTGATTTCAACAATAACAGTAAAAAAAGCATTCACGAAGATAATATCTTACCACAATTTCCTCGATATAATATACGCTTCATTTTTTGTGTTTCGCAGATTGCACGCTTTAAAAAGCACTGATTAGTATATGTTTCACCGTCGTCTGCGCATACTGGATCAGGCCATTCATTTAAACAATTAATACTATCACAGATACAATTGGAAAACTTTGACATTATTCTCTTCGGTGTAATTCTTGTCGTAGATGATGCATAATAACTGTGTGGATCATAGCATATCCCACCATAAAGGCATAAATTAGCATTTCCGCATAATTCTATCTTCGATTGAGTAGCTGAAGTTCATTAATTGTGATCGTTTCCATGGTGATTATGATGATGAACATGATCACGATTTGTATGAAAATTAAAAGAGAGAAAAATAAAATTTACTAATGAATATATTGAAACAAAACTACAAAAGTATAAAGGTACGTATCATTTCCTTTGAAAGTCAGATCTCTTTGATTAACAGTATTCTCTTAACTACTCATAAATATCGGTCCAAGTAATACATTATAGAAGGTTATGGAAAAGTGAGGTGATATTCAAGTGTTGGTTTGTAGGGATTTGATTGGTTACAGGATTTCATCATGAGCTGACATTAGTTAGAGAACCACTGGAAAACCTGGGAGTACTGGACAGCTGTTTCGTCCTAGTTTGGGACTCTTCGTCAGTACGCACCCACCGGGATTCGAACCCAGGACCTTCTGGTTACAAGGCGAGCTCGTATACCATTAAGCCACTAGGACCCGATCCAATGGCTCATGAATTCTAACTTCTGCCAATTTACGACATAGAGCGACCGCTAGCCAATGTCTTCGGCGAGTATTTGTCCTCACACCCAACCTGCTGCACTCTACTGGTCACGACTTCTCACTAGAACTGTGGGAAGTTCGTCCGGTTATCAGTCACTAACGAAGGATACAGAAATAAAACCTACACATAGGAATAAAACTAATATTCTTTGCGTTCTCAATCAACTAACCCACTCATTAAAAGACTGAGTTGATGAAATCACGTAGTGTATTGCCAATAAACATGAAATGTGTTTAGAGTTATTACGTTTTCAATAATCGTAGTAACTTTCGAAAAATTGTAATAGTGCTCCAAATCTCTGAATTAAATAGAAGCAGTCACTGATTTGACACTGGTATTAGGAAACTCATATCTTATTCGCTGTTCTGTCCACAATGATTTCAGAATAGTGACAACCTGTCTTGTTTTCCCATCCAGGCTGTCATTCTATCCAATTCCTTCTATAGATAGAATGATGCCGCTTAGGTGAGTGTAAAGACTTCTCTCATTGGTGATGAGTGGTGTCTGGTGCTGTTGGTCGAGTGAATTCATCACCCCTGTCTTTCCTATGTCTACTTGAAGCTCTATTGCCGCTAATTCTCCTGCCAACTGATTGGTTTGAATGTTTTTAATGGATGAAGATAATACAACGAATACTTTTCTAGTGAGTGGCAGACAATAAAAAAGATGCAATCATTCAGTCTTGGAATGTAATACTCTACCTTTATTCTATTCAAGTTTGGTGAGACTCATGTAACTGCACGAGAGTGTGTTGTTAGTCTTATTGGAACCGTAGTTACTTCTCCACCAGCAGCGCCGGATGACAGGCATTCAAATATCCTAGGGGATTTTAGAATGCATTGCGATGGCAGGTCATATGGCTGGATAACCATACTAAGTACTCCATCATTACCTATTCCTGCTTCCTAAGATTTTGAAATCTGGCCTGTGTTCGTATTTCATCTGAAAGAAGTTACTTAAGACTTGCACGTCGTGTTTTTTAACACTTTGCAGATTGAAACTGACAGTCCTCCCTACTTAGCAGATTTCTATTCACAGAACATCCTACTGAAACATTTTTTTCCTCTCTTAGATTATCTTAATTGTCTGCACAATATACTTCTCACTTGGGGTGTTCAAACTTCTTCGTCTCTCATTCAAAGATGATAATACCAATGCTAATAGTCACATAAATTATCAATTTACTTGACTTCCACATAAAAACACTAATTTGTTACTGAGATTTAAGAGTTTTCGAAACTTTTAAAGAACTACTGTTTTATTGATGAGAAACGATAACTAGAGTAGATTACGTCACGGGCGGACGTCATTTAAATAACTATTAAAAACCCAGTAGCACTGGAAATCCGTTCTATTCTAGGTTAGGACTGTTCAGCAGCATGGAACCATTACTCCACCAGAGATCTAACCCAAGTCATTCAGGTTACGTGACAAATACATTGTAGTACTCATATGCCAATTATAAACATACACTTTTTAATCTAATTTGCATACTTATATTATATGTTTACACAGACCAATTTTATATGTACTTTGCAAACATTTGTCAATCTTTACATTAACTGTTGAACATTACCTTGACGCAATTCTGAAGTTTGACTACTGCTATAATACACTATCGTACTCTTCGCATGTGCCTTTTGGTTTTACGTTGTAGGCGTCGAGTAGCCACAACGTCTATGTACATTGATAAACGTGAAGAAGTACTAGGAAATATGCATACGCTGATTTAGTCAAATAAAGCACTCAACAACATTACTGTATAGTGACTGGGTTACGAACCTAATGTCTCGTGAACTTTAAACTCAATCGTTTCCCGGTACATTTCAACTGACAATGTCATTGTTGAGTATCTTTCTCCATTTACAATTTTTTGAACCCTGATGGGAATAAATTTTTTAAAGAGATCACTTCTGTCACTTATCTAGGAAGCGTCTCTTCAACTACTGGCCCTCTGAACGAATGAGGCTATTCAAACCAAATTCGAAAAGGCAAGGCACACCTTCATCACTCTGAAATCAGTTTGGAAATCTTCTGCACCCAGCATTACAAAGAATAAAATTCGAATTTTCAACACTAATGTTTAGTCAGTAACTTCCTATATTATATATATATATGGGTCGGAAATGTCGCACGTCACGAAAAGCATTTTCAACAGGCAGAATTTTATCAACAGCTGCCTCCGGTGGCCAGAAAGAATAAGGAAAACGAAAATCTGCGAACAAACCAATCAAAAGCCAATTGCTCAACAAATATGGCGAAGGAAATGGACATGGACTGCTCACACGCTTAGGAGACCGTTGGATGACATCGATGGCTAGGTCATCTAGTGTAACTTGAATGGGAAACGACGTGTTTGATGTTGATCCGAGGGTGACATGAAGGAGATCGTTTGGGGAGGGGATGAAACCTTTGGGTAAGACGAAGACGACTGCAGAGAACGCGATGAAATTGAGGTGGGCTATTGAAGCCGTATTTTCCACTGGAAACCCAAGGGAACAATAACAATAAACATGTGCTGACTTCTCGTTAGGACTAAAGGAATTCGCCCCAACAAGCCAGTCACCACCAATGAGTAACGGTTCTATTTCCAATGCTCGAAATTCATAATTACTTTTGTTAGATATAAGTAACATATAATTGTAGATGCCCTCCTGTCCTGTTGACAAATACTTTCAATCAAATCGTATCTCAGTTTTTTCTATGCTGCTTATTGAATAATATCCGTTTTTCGAGAAAACAACGTCTTTCTCTGTGTGTGTGTGCATGCGTGTTTACACTCAAGTTTACATAACTTCTATTGCAATGAAAGCTAATTAGATTTTTTAAAATTCGAATAAAAATAATTTCTTTTTAAACAGGTAGTTTATCTCCAAAAGGAAGTTACTCATCTAACGCTAGCCGGAGTCTATCAGATGGCACACGACATTAGGATAATTTAACAGTTTACTGTCACTATCCCTGCACGTCATTGCTCCATTGCTACAATACAGTGTTTATCAGTTTAGATTTAAAACGGAAACATATCCTTTTTATTTGTCTCTTTCGCATAAAATGGTATCTTTACAGTCAACATGGATGTTATATCTCAGGTATAACTGACACATGTTTTACAGCTAACATTTTAATGCTTTGCCTATGACTTATAAACTGTTTTTGTAAAAAGAGGTTTAATAAATTTTAATAGATTATCCCGATAAATCTGAACAAACAGCTTCCTTCCTGTTAAGCCTTAAATAAATTGATACCGTTTACCCTGATATGCAGTAATAAATAAAACCCATATATATATTTATGTGCACGCATAAGGATGTCAAAACCAGGATTAGAAAGGCAGGGGTAACTTTCATCACTCTGAAATCGGTTTGGGAATCTACTGTACTAAGCATAAAACGTTGGTGGCACAGCGGTAGAGCGCTTTCCAGCCACGCAGATGGTCCGGAATTTGATTCCCGGCCGATGCACTCCCTTACCACGCTAAGCCAGTAATAAGACTGGTAAAGAGGGGAGGTAAGGCGTATGGGGCCAGCAGCCCTATCCCGTAAAAATTAAAAATCACTGCTACCGAGACTTCATGGCCATAGCTTGAAGCCCTATGTTCCACTAGGAACGTGAAAGAATAAAAAATGTATAAAGAATAGACTTTGGATTTCCAAGACTAATGTTAGGTCAATTCTTCTGTATGGTTCGGGGACCTTTAGTGTCATGAAAACCATTTCGAACAAGCTGTAGACTCTTCTCAACATTTACCTTCTCTGGCTTCATACTTAAGATCACATGGCCGGCCAGAAAGAATTAGGAACACGGAGCCCGAGGAACAAACCGATCAGGGACCCGTTTCTCAATTCCAGTGGAACCTGAATAAGAAACGACGAGTTTGGAATGGTTCTGAAGGTGAAACAGAGGTGATCGTGAGAAAACGAGGTGATGAAAGCCTATGGGAAACAATGGAGCCAACTAAAGAGGACTGCAGAGAACAGGATATATCAGAGATGTGTTGTTGAAGACCTATATTCCCCACGGAAACCCAGCGAATCAAATAATAATATTTATCTCTGCAGTAATCCCTCATTATCCAAAGCTGCAGTTGGAGACGTCGCTTTTGTGTTATTCCGCTTCACCGCTGACTGCGACAGATACATTAATTGGTCACTTGGAAATAATGTGTCATTTACCAAGCCCTTAGTGCAGAAGCTGGTTTAATTCTATAAGTTAAGTTTAAAGTATGGTCACCAAGGTTGGTGACTAGCCATCGTGGTGCAGTTTGATATCATGTTAAGTAACTGGAAATAGTCGACTGGATGACCCGATGATAAGAAGCAATTAAAAGACTTATTTGAAACTATGTAAAACATTGTTAAACTAAGAAAACTGCATAACTTCACGTCCCCACCTAGTGGTAAGCGGGTCCACTTGTGTTTAGACACTGAAAACTCCGTCCTTTTGTGATACAGCTTTACTGTGAATCAACTTCATG